GTTTGAAACTTACAGTATCATGAGTAACTGAGCCACAATGACTAGTAAAACTCTTTAGTCTCTCCCATTTTTTGCTAAGTGAATTTTGCCAAGGATTTTTATTTCCAATTTGTATTAAGGAAGGATTCCTTATGGATAAATAAGGAAACTTTGGGTTCATACCAAAGCCAGATTAATTAGTAAACCCAAGTGACCTATTTTTACTATCCCAATTTGTTAGCTATTATTAAACAAGAGATTCCTGATCTGGATTCATGGAACTCTGACTGTTATTACAACCTGACTTTTTCTCATGATATACATCTATTTAGCCAGAGTTTCAGATCATCATCCCAAATTTAGTAGCCTTAGTAACATTTGAGTTACAACTCCCAACATTTTGCAATAGCAGTTCCAATGAATTTGGACAATTACAATATTGAGAAGTAAGTTATTAAATAAAAAGTATGTGTTTAGCTTGCGGAGTTATTTTTTACATTTCCGTATAGAATTACTCAGGAATAGTAAATTTAAGGAATGAGCAGCTGTAAGACGGTGGATCTTTTTAACTGATCACCAGCCCCAAAACACAACCCAGAATAGGATTTTCATAATGCAAATCAAGGCAATGTTTATTTTCCTCTATGTTCACTGAGTTTATCTGGACAAAGTAAGAGCCATATTTTGCTCTTTAAGTAGCTGAACTAGTTTATGTAGTTGTATGCAACAGATGAGAGTTCAACAGAGGGAATTTTAGAATCATTTTAAAAGTCAAATCAACTCTTGTCATGGAGACACTCAGAATAATTTATGGTTGCTCCTGAATAGAGATGAGCAGCTTCCCTTAACTTAAAGGCAAAATCAGGTTTATATCACATGATAACAGATGCCTTCTAAAATTGAGTGGGACAAGAACCCAATATTTTACATATGAAAAAACATCTCAGTCACTTGCAAAATCCATTTTGATTCTTACCATCCCCAAACACCAACAACCTTACTCAAGTTAAGTTTTTTTCTACCTTACAATATGTATTAATTGAATTTTACTGGGTCTACAGGTTTTCTTTATAAATAATTACCATCTGTACTTTTAGTTATGTGACCTATTTTGGAGAGATTTTTAAAGATGGCTGAAATAGATGTGTCACCTGTGACTCCTTTACTAGCATCAAACCCAACTGTCTTTGCTTTGTAGAAAAGCATCTGGATAAACAAGAGTGAGAAACTGGTTAAGATATATGACTATATCTTCAACAGCTCAACTGAATTAAATAGCTTATCCACAAGCTGATCATTATACTCTCTGAGTCTTTTCCAAGTAGACCTCATAATCTGAAACTCAGCTTTCTTCTTACCTAGGGACACTAACTTGTATTTACTTAGAACTTCCTCTTCATATATTATTTTTGTGAATTAATGAATGCATAAAAAAAGTAGTGTGCCTAGTTGAGAGTCAGTTTTGTCTAGTGGTTAAGGCACTTGGCTAGAAAGCAGAAGAATCATTAATTCTAGTCCTGCCTTAGCCATTAAAACTAGCTGGATGACTTTGGGCCAGTCATTCTCTTTCAGCCCAACCCCACCTCACAGGGCTGTTATTGTGAGGAAAATAGGAGATAGGTATGTTGGATATGTTCACCACCTTATGTTATTTGTAAAAATAATAAAAGCGGGATACAAATAAATAAATAAATTCTAACTACAAATTATGTCCACATCTGCTATTCCAGGCACAATACCATTCTTCTGTATTCATGAAGTCCCTTTCCCAATTTAGAACTGTTATTATTTAGCTCTCTAAGTGATTCAAGAATTTTCAAGGCTTTTTCTTCAGAAGTTGTACTGAAAACAGTAGGGGAATAAAAAAAAATAAGGCAATTTTTGAGTAAGGCAAGTGGTGGCGAACCTATGGCATGCGTGCCACAGGCGGCACTCAGAGCCCTCTCTGTGGGCACGCACACCGTGGCCACTAGCAGCTCGCGCAGGTCCATTAGGCTGCTGCCGCCCGGCACAAAGCAGGCAAAATGGCCGGCTAGCAAGCTCGAGTAGAGATGTTAGAGTATTGAGGTGGCCACACCTACTTGGCCACACCCACCCAGTCTGCTGTGACCACCCTGGCCACACCCACCCAGTGGGCCACATACCCCACCCTCCCTGAGGGAATCACAGTGCTGATGCAGCCCTGGCACTTTGCAATAAATAAGTGGGTTTTGGGTTGTGGTTTGGGTTCGCCATCACTGATATAAACTCAAATCAAATATCTTTTATTTTAGTTACCTGCAATATACATGAATGGTTTCCTCATTCTTCGCTTATAAATAAATAAAAGAAACAGAACAGAATAAATAAAAGAAAGCAAATTCTTTATCCAACAATGGAAGTCTTTTGCTAAACTACTAAGCTGCTGGAGATATATGAATAGATTTCCAAACATTTTAGGTTCAAGAAGAAGCCTGAATCATAACTGGATTACAATCTATTAAGCTCTTCCCTCTTCCTTTTTTTTCCCAATATAAATAAAACTCAACCAAATTATTACTTGATTTGTTACGGAAAAGTTACAACTATATATATTTTCTCTAATGAAGCCAACAGAAGCTCAGAGATCTCCATTTCAGCTGGGAAAATCCTGTGAAGGACAAGCATCAACAGATAGTCCATTCCATTTCCACTCTATCTGATTTCAAGGAAAATCCATATACATTTAGTTTCTTGTTTAGCTTGGCCTTGGGCAATGTGTACATCAAGTGTTTTTTAATCTTGTTTGAAATAAACAAGATAACCCATTTTGAGATGCAAAACAATCTCCTGCTCTAGGATAAGATGTACGAATAAGTATATTTTTCTGAGTAAGATTTTTCTGAAGATAATAATTTGGGCTTTGTAAGTGCCAAATGGCATACTTCTACATAGCATAAAATATCATTTGATTAAACATGGAAAGAGAACAATCTTCCTGCTTTTATTTTTTAAAACCTGGAAATAGAAACATAGAGATATTCTGCTCTCTGGACAATCTGAATAATGGATATGAATTTCATAGCCTTACTTCCCTGTAAAATACCTGGTAATATTAATAATTTAAGTATAAATGAAAGTAAGGTCTGTATATATGCTTTATGCACAGATTCAGGAAAAGGAAAAGAAAGATACTATTTTAGTTCAGACTCTGTATTCATATTTGTTTTAGTTTTGCTCATGTTTCCCATTTTTAATATTCTAATCAAAAAACAATATTCAGTTCCTTTGGATGGAAACATTGTCAGTATTAGTCTTTCAGCTGTTCACTGCAGGTTTCCTGCATAAATCTCTCCACACCCTTACAGATGTTCGTATCTCAGTACAGATCTATTTCCCTTGAGAATCAGCCAAACCATTAAGAATCTGCATTTTAAGGTGGGAAGAGCTGTATGTATCTGGGAATGGAATATAAACTATCCAAAATCTGTTTAAGTCTTTAATTCTTCAAGTCACCCTTGAACTTCCTCAATAACATGGGAAAACAAGGATATTTCAAGGGGTATACGTGAAAAGCATGTAATGGGAGGGCATGGCAAGTGCCATGGGGACCACCAAACATAAAATGCATTATACTGCAAATACCATTTTGTTTAAGCTAGAATACACAGCCGTTACTGTCCCAAGACTCACATTACTCAACTAATACATTACATTAAATGTGTAAGTACTGATCTTTTTCACCAGAATGGGACCTGCACAGGAGGGGGAATCAGGGGAGGGACACAGGTCAGAAGGAGGCCACAGGTAAAAAAAAAAAAATTGGAGAAATACTGAGGGCCAAGAATGGACCAAAAAAAATGACTGATCTATGAAAGCTGAATTTATCTTCCATAAGCAATTCCTTGGATTGTTTTATCTATGTGAGTATAGAAAATTCTTCCTCCTTGTGTGGTATTCTACCTTGGATACGAGCCAGATAATTCTACAAGTAAAATATGAGTTGTTCCATTCATTAAGGTACTTCTGGAGCTCTTGGTTTCAGAATCTGCTACTATGCAGATGGGATAGGAAGACAAAGGTGATTTAACTAAAACTTAAGTGGATGTTCCCGAATTTGGCCACACATAGTGAAGGATATGCATATGCCTGAAACTCATGTCACCATGTTTCAGGGTTTTGTGTAAATACAGGCAATGTAGCCTCAAAGAGCATGTAAGGTAAACCTTCATAATCCAAAGTGGTATATTTAAGACACTAGTTTGCTACCAGACAACTGTGAGAGCTGGATATGTTCAAATTAATGGATTTCAATATGTCAAAAGACTGTATTCCACTGTAAGTTACATAAAGCTTTGAAAATTAATTTCTTAACTACCAGTTAAGTTTAGCTAAACAATATTGTTCAACTTAATAGAAAGGTTCCATTTTTGACCAGAGTAACTCCACAGCTGACTTCATGGAGATGTACTAATTACTAATATTATTTAAATCAGTCTGTTTTCTTTCTTCTGCTATATATCTCTCTAGATTTTTGAAGCACATTAAACATTTGATCCCAGAAGAGATCATTAAATTCTCTTTCTTCCTTTTCAGTCGTTTTTCAGTTCTTCTATGGAAAAAAAGTGTCTCAAGTGTCATTTGCATTAATTACCTACAATACCTTAAAAATGCAAAGAGCCCAAATCTCTTAATACTGCCTTTTTTCTTCTTTCCAATAGCTCTTTTAAAATGGCAACATTAAGCATCACTTGCTACTGATTTTGAAAGTGCTCTCTAGAACACTGCATAATTCTATTTGAAATATTATTCAAAGAACCACATAGCAGTATTTTTAAAAGATAGAAAAACAAAGGAGCGGCCTGCAAGTATAACATCCATCTATTTCTAAATTAAGCCTTTCCATGTGCCACACTATAAACCATTTACCTTGTGAAACCTTGAACACAAATCTTTAAAAAACACACACAAGAAGCTCGGATATTCTGCCTCAGTTGCACTTTTCATAGCAAGATGTTCTACACCCTATCAGAAATACATTGCAGAGCATTTTATCTTCTTACCCTTCGTGTGAATGGAGAGAAGCACAAGGAAAGAAATGTGAAGTTGCCAGTTTGGTTCATCTAGCCAGTTCATTGCAGCAGCAGCAGCAGTAATAGCGGCAGCAGCTCGTAGTCCCCTTCTTTTCCCTTGCTCAGTTCGCAGAGAGCTCTCCTGCTCCCGCCTCTCAGCAATTCAGATGAGTTGTGCCAGCAGAACCTAAAGAAGAGAAGTTGAAAGACAAGCCTGTTACAAACTGGTTCTGTCACCACAAAGTCCTCAACTGATCACCCTTGCAGGAAGGACAACAAAAGGGCAGTGGGACTCTAAGCAGGACTGGATTCCTGAGACAGGAGCATGGACTGATTGCTGCCCACACAGGGAATTCATGTAAACTTAGAAGTTGTAGAAAAACAGGAGAGAGAGAAAGAGAGAGAGAGAGAAACTCAGACAGAATAAGAGAGAATCTCAGCTCCCTTATCAATTTCACACTTATGTTCACAAAACAAAGCCATGCTGCTTCAAAAATCTAACACATAGTTTCTAACAGAATACATACTTCTGCCAGGGATTATCCAGAAACAAATATACATCTATTTTATTTCCCTCCACAAATTAACTGTAATTTTTTTAAAATATTGTTTCATTGAATGTATTACGCTGGCAATTGCCCTTTTCTAACACTTCCTCAAAAGGAACAATAATAAATAAATCAAATCTTACTTATAAGTCTCTATAGCAGCTTGAAGCCCGCTGAGGGCAACAGACTGCTCTGTCCTATGCATGTAACTCAGTCTCACCACAAAACCTTGTACATATTTACTTAGAAGCAAATTCCATTCTATCAAGTGGGAGTTTATCCTTTGGTAAAGGGATCCATAGTATTGGGCTAGGGTGGAAAGACCCAGATTCAAATCTACCCTTATCCATTGATACTCAGTGGGAGTCTGAGCCAACAAAGCTTATATGCATAAATATCTACAGGATCAAATTATTTTCTCTCAATAACAGACGCTCCATCCCAATACAAGCCCATCCCAGATGGCATTGTACCATTGCTCCTTTTGTCACTTGCTCTCCCTCAAACTCCCTTGACCCTACCTGCAGACATGTCCATATACAGGGTTGCTGCCATGGAGATAACAAGAAGGAAGTCCCCATATTAGTCATCTTGAGTTCTTATAGAAAAGAGTTAAAAAACTAATAAATAAATTAAATCATATTTTTCATCTAGGTCCATTAGTTTAGTGATTGTAATTAGTTTAATGTTCTTATACTGCACTATGTTAAAACACAAACTTTCTCATCTATTTCTCAGGAGAACATTGCTAGAGTGGCATAACATTGCTACTTCAGTCAAGGATTACAAGAAAAAAAAAGGCTTACTATTTTACTCCTTGTAAAAAAAATGAAACACCAAGAAAATAACTTGGAATTTAGTCTCTAGCAGTTTGAAAGCATGCAACTGCAAATAGATAAATAGGTATCATTTTGGTGGGAAAGTAACAGGGTTATGTGCACCTCTGGCTTAAAGTCATGCAGGCCACATGACCATGGAAATGTCTTCAGACCACCCTTGTTCCATTGGCTAAGAAATTGAGATGAACACCAGCCCTTAGAGCCAGACACAACTGGACAGGGAAGACCTTTACCTTTATGTTTACATTTCATCTTAAACTAGACTCTTGCCAATATCACTTCGGTGTTTTCAGGAAAATTCCATCTTGCAGAAAGAACCCAATGAATCACATATGTCATATCTGTTCATTTAGTTATAGAACACTATCTTAACACTTAAATTATATGCTGCTGCACATACTAAGAACTTAAGGCATAAATATCAAATCATCAATTTGCTTTTTTAAAAAAAAAAACCTCTATTGTGGTATAGGATTGAATCTGAAAGAGAAAGTAAATCCTTCTGGTTCAAACCTTGAGTATGTATTTGGTTCATATGCCAATCATCAACCAATGAATACTATATGATTTTTTAAAAAGCCAGCAACAGAATTCTGTAAACATTAATTACATTTGTTCATTCATTCAAGGTTCCTTTCATATGATCAGGACTTATGTAGTCTAAACATGCTAAGGAAAATTCACACAACAGTAGCTTTCTGGAAAGAGTGTATATACTTAATTCTATAAAGGGCAGGCAATTTTTAAATTGAAAATTTGGAACAAACTAGACAAACTAGACTGCATACATACAACCATTCCTCATGTTGATTCTTTTTTATTTTTGAGCAGGTGTGATTTCATCTGGAGATACTTGAAAACTGTTTTCTCAATCATCTTCCACAAATCTGTGCCCTATCTTACAACATTTTTCATGTCACGAAAGTGATTCTATGACAGTTCTTAATGTATCTTGAATGTGTGTCTGCTTTGTTTCAAAACCACTTTGAATTTTTTTCCAAAAATAGTCATCACTGTAGAAAGTTTGCAAAAAGGTGGTTTTTATCAACCACTGACATATCTTTTTGAAAAAAAAAGGAAAGGGGCAAGACATCCATATGGATAAAAGCATATGGTGCATTTGTTCCTACATTTCTACTTACTTAGTAACTTACTCTGCTAAACTTCAGTGACCTAAAGTTTAAGGCACAACAGATTGGAAGGAAAACTGATTTAAGGAGGCAACATCATAACAACTTATGGATATAAGTTTCATATTTAAGGGATTTTAACAATTTGCAAAATGATAGTAATGCTATTAAAGAAGATAACTCTAGTAAAATTACTCTATTATTACATATGACTCCACCCTTTATCCAAAATAATATATACAGATAGTTCTGACATAATACTACCTTTTTTTTCCTTGGCAGAATAAACAAGTTGGCTGAACTGTAAGAAGCTTAAGGAATTCTATTGGGAGGATCCAATTTTATTTCATTTTATTTTTGTTTTCATAACCCTGGATCAATTAGGAAGTCAGACTTCATCTAAATGAATAATTAGGGCCCTATATAATCACAGCAGCACAATTCAAAATAAATATGTGGAACTATTCTAATTATGCCAGATTTATAAGAAGACTTTTTAGTTTTTAGATTTTTTTTAATTTGATATTATCTATATTACATCATTCAATTACATATTGATAGGACAAATATTAAATTCTGTAGGGGGATTTGATCAATAAAAGTCTTTAAAATTATATATAAATGAAGAATTGTCATTGTTTCTATGCTTTTTAATCCTATCAGCGGTGAACTCTACCTTCCTATTTCTAATTACCTAGAGTGTATTTTCTTGTATTAGAAAGGTCTGAGAGCATTAAAAATGGCATAAACCAAGAACTGAATATTACTGTTCTTTCACTGATATGGAAACCAATAAATCATAAGAAATTCTGTACAGGTTAATGATTGGTTCTGGGGTTGTTGTTTTTTTAATGTTAGCTTGTTTCACAAAAAAACCCAAAAACAATTTTGTTGATTACATATAGAGACAGTGATGCAGAGTTAAGATGTTGAACCTATAGTGGGAAAACCCATTTTCAAATCCACTTTGAATTACAGGATTTTATTGGCTGACACCCGGCTAATTACTCTCAGCCTAGCCCACCACATAGGCTTATTGTAATTGGAAATATAAGGCAAGGCAATAGTAAATATGCTGTTCTTTGTTCCTGAATGAAAAATAAGATAGGAAAGAAAATGATTAGAGATTTCAGATTAGCACGTATAAAATGTTCCAGTATATATCTAGTCTAGTTAAATATTGGTTGTTAAATGGCTAGCCATTAATTTAAAAAAATCAAAACATCCATGGAGTTACTTTTCCTGACTTTGAATATGCATACTGAAAAAAGAAAAAACCATGACAAATGAGATTCTGTATATATAAAAAATTGTATTTCCTTGACATTTTATCTATTATGGTCTTAATATGGTTTCTTTGATTTGACTTAAGATGTTGTGCCAACCCAAACAATTGTGACATTTTCTATAAAGAATATTTCAAGAAACCATGGCTTAATATAATATCAACCTTGAACCACAAGACGGGAGGGAAATAAATTTGATAATAACAAAATGCCAAATCCGATATAAACATCTGACTGACTATAGAATGAAGCATATTACTCATAATAAATGCAAATAAGTCTGGATGGTGGATGTGACAGTACCTGGAGACAGCAAAACAGAAGAGAAAGAATTGGAGAAGATAACAAAATATAAAGACGTGCAAATAGAGTGAATCTTGCAAAAGAAAGCAAAGGTGGTACCAGTAGTATTAGGAACACTGGGTACAATCCTGAAACCTCTGGAGCACTTGAACACCATCAGCATCAACAAAATCACCATTGGTTAATTACAAAAGGCAGCTTTACTCAACAGCTTACACATCCTGCAACAATACCTTTAACACAGCTGCCTATCCCAAGTCCTTGGGAAAGATTTGATAGGTGGACAAAAATGCCAAATCCAATCTGAAGGTTGGCTGACTGTGTGATTAATAATAATAATAATAATAATAATACAAAGCACTACATGGCAAGTACATTAAAAAACAGCAGGGAAAGCAGATAATAACAGGACCTGACTATGGCTAAGAGCAGGAAAATTGAAGAAAGAGACCGAGGAACTAATTCTGGCTGCACAAGACCAAACCTTAAGGATAAATGCATACAAAGTCAAAATTGAGAAGATGCCACTATGCAAAGAAGCTGAAGAAACAGTGGACCACCTGGTAAGCTGCTGCAAAAAGATCACATAGACTGACTACAAGCAGCGGCATGACAAAATAGAAACAATGGTGCATTGGAAGGTCTGCAAAATGTGTCATTTGCTTGCAAACAAAAGCTGGTGGGATCATAAAATAGAGAACATCATAGAAAATGATAAAATTAAACTGCTCTGGGACTTCAGAATTCAAACAGACAAGCACCTGCAACATAACACCCCAGACTTAACAATTGTCAATAAAAAAGACAAAAAAGTCTGGATAGTGGACCTGGCAGTGTCTGGAGATAGCAGAATAGACGAGAAAGAACTGGAGAAGATAACAAAATACAAAGACCTACAAATAGAAATAGAAAGACTGTGGCAAAGGCAAGCAAGGGTAGTACCTATAGTAATAGGTGCCTTGGGTGCAATGCCAAAACAGCTGGAGCACCACTTAAACACCACTGGCATTCATAAATTCTCCATTAGTCAATTGCAAAAGGCGGCCTTACTAGGAACTGTTTCCATCCTGCGATAATATCT